TTTCTCTACTGCAGGAGTCAGGGAGAGTAAAATTAGTTGGAAATAACTGTTCACTATAGTTGCATGCATATAGTTTAATGTACATTATGTTTATCATGCAATTTATTCCTTTTCCTCTCTGGCAGCCGAAATGGTATTCCAAATTTTACTGCTTCTGTACTTCTGCAGTCAAAGGGTTGTTTTATCTTCCATTCACTGAATGATCATCTGGATTTTATATATCTCAATGGCTCCTATTTCATAAGTATTAACATGAACAATAAACAGACTGATCACAATATCTTTATTTCTCAAATGAATCTGATGATCAAAATATCAATTTCAAACAGTAAACAGCATTTCTATATATATTTTCTATAAGCAACAATTTTCATAATAATAAATAATAGGGCACTAAATGACAATAGATAAATATTTTAGTTATATTTATATTTGTATATAAAATAATATTGTACTTAATTTTACTCCCATAAGTAGTCAACCACTTGAGAATGGCAGGAAATAAATAGTTAAAAATCATACGCATAAAATCATGGCAGTACAGTGGCTTTATATCTTTTGTAATCCTGAAAAGCCACTTTCCTACTTTACAGCTGGATGGTATCTACTTGTATTGTACCAATTGCCACTGCATCACGAGACTTTGGTTCAACATTCAAAAAACTGAATCAAAATAATGTGATTTGCTTTAAATTTCAATATCCTCAATTTCAGTTTATAAATACAACTGTTTTCCTCCCTTCGCTAATTCCATATTATTGCTAGCTAATTTGTTGCATTCTATGATTCCACAGTTACAAGGGTAACATCCAATGTAATTGTAGTCTACTAAAGGGAGTCTTCTTTCATAATATATTCATCCTAAATTTGAACTGACAGCCAATGCTCACACAATATAGCTCCAACAACAAACACCATCACCAACAGGGGTTTACTCTGATTAGTACTTCATCATCAGCAGTTTTCAATTCTTTAAGTACCATATATCTGCTTTGCTACATAATGTTTTCAGTTGAAAAAGTCTTTAATTTCCTTGCATTTTATTTTCTCTGCATCTGTGAAACAAAGGCAATTCAGAATCAATCAAAACAATTTAGATATTGGCCTACGGTTAGTGATATGTTAACACCAGGCTACTTTACAATTTGAAAATGAAAAGTATATCTGGATCAATGAAATATCTTTTACTTGTATCACTACTGATATACACAAAAATGCTCATAAATTATGATTTTTTTTTTCTATGGTTTATTCGCACTTGAGGATTAATGAATCTGTCAACAAGCTATCCATTTTCCTTATTATTTGCCCCTTCCTTCCTTCCTACAACTAAATTGGCCTTGCTTTGTGATGTTACAAAAATTTAGATTTATAGATCTGATATCTTCCTCTTGTTGTACTCATTCCAAGTTCTGCTTTCTATAAAATGAAAAATTATCAACTATAATCCGGATCATTCACAGGCATGGATTGATCTGTAAACAAATTATTAAAGTAAACTCCATCTATCAACTTTATTTTATGTGGCATCTTATAAATCTGAGGTTCTTTTTATGATGTGAAGTTAAGGACATTATGAGATTTTTTACATATTTACTTTTTTCCCCTTAAACAGTCTCTACATTGCCCTTGACACGAACCCTGCGTATAGGGCTAAAATCTGATGAGCCCACACTGTTCCTAGCACCATCCCTCCTTTCACAGTCACCTTCCTCAACACTCCCATTCACATGTGGCTCAAACACATCATATGTTCCTGTTGTTCTAGCAAGAGGGGGTTTGGCAGTAAAGGAAGTTTCAGTTTCATCTGGCGTTGGAGGCTGTGCCAACTGTGAAGGGGGAGCAACATGACTTTGGTTATCACTCTCCTTAGGGAAGACTCTCGTGTCAAGAACAGCGGGTACAAGCAGAGGCGGCGGCACTTGACTCAGGGGCGGAAGGATGCGAGTGGGACCAGGGGAGAGCGCGACATTCCCAACTAATGACACATAAGGCCAGACCCCTTCGTCCTCTCCTGGAGTCACACTGTTGGCCCTTGTTGGTAACTCTAAATTCCCTGTAATGCCCATATCCGCCATCATCTCTCCTGTACTACTGGAGCTGCTGCTACTGCTGCCATTACTGTCTTGAGGAGAGCTAGTCCTCTCTATATTCACCTACCCATTGGATCAAAATAAGTCATCAGTTCACTTGTAGCATAAGTTTTCCCTAAATTAAAGGAGCTGATGAATATCTAGCAAGATGAAGCGCTACAACACCTCAGAAGTTATGGCTGTGAAATGGGTTGAATAAAACTCTTCTTTCATGCAAAAACTTTCAATCATCAACTACAAACATAAGAAAGGAAAAATACCAGGAAAAAAATCCAATACCAAACTGTTATATAAAGACTGTTTGGAACATCAAAAATCTACTGGGAAATCAACTCTCATCATAAATGAGTCAAAGTTCTCCCAACATTTAAAACTGATGACTAGGAATATTCTTGAATGTGGTGTGACGAACCTTGGGCAGTGAGGGGGAGGCCTGGGGTACTCCAGTCGTCATCATATCTTCCATTGGAATTTCTTCGCTTCGGGGACGAGGTCGGGAGGTGGAACGAGAGATGCCTTCCCGTGCTCCCTGTGGATGTCTGCTTTTCTGCCTTCCAAGACGACTTGGACTTTGCGATTCCGATCTACCTGAACAAACTGCTACCTGGTCTTCTGTCAATGAGATTTCCATTATTGAAGTAAATGGAAAATAAAGGTTTAACCAGTATTGTTCATATTTTATTTGACTGCAGTATCTTTCTAATCTTTAAACTAAACCATTCATATATTCAATCTACCTAATATTATCATTTCACCCTAATAATGACTGATCATACAATGTTTACTGTAATAAATTCTTTACTTACGAGCATCGGGACTTGGTTGGAGTCCAGCCCCACCTTCACGCTTCAGCGCAAATCCAGGAACTCTTGAAACATTGAACAGTGGGCGGTGAGATTGACTGCGACTACGTCCTTCCCCACCACTAGCACGGCTTACACCTCGTCCTACCAATTCAAAGCAATATGACACCACCGTAACTACTTGAATAATGGATCTATTCCATTCTTCTGCTTTACTTTTGAGAAACTGATTTTTTTTATCGAAGACTAAAAGTATTCCTGTTACAGGTGAGTGAATGCTGTATCATCAGTCAAAAAATAACTGTAGAAACATGACAAAAGACTGTTTAAAAAATGTGAACATGAATTATACAACTGAAATAATCATTGAAAAGATAAATTAAGGCAAGAAAATATAATGTAATAATATAATATAATTGGAAAGAGTAAAGAAATGGCATAAAAACAACAATGAGAATATTCCAATTGTATATAAATAGTATAATTTTGAAAGTCACATTTCAATCTCCTAAAAAGATCTACAGTACAAATCCTACTAGTTACTACAATTTCTACATCCTTTTTTCTATAATTAATTGTTACATCATTTTATAAACACTAATATTTGAACGTAAACATGACAATAGGAAATTACAAGTACATTATGTCTTCAACATTATACTTTTAATTTTCAGTCATGGGCCCATTTACTGTACTCTTTTTTTTTATGTATAAAATATGGCCAGCAGGAAGCCTACCAAACACCAAATAACAGGAGATATAACCAGTTCATTTGTGCTTGTGTGTGCATTTGCAGGCACGTGTTTAAGCGTATATGTGTTTATCTGTATGTGCGTGTGTGGATCAGCATGTGTATGAATGTGCATGTGTAGGTGCTTGTGTGTGTACAATTGCAGGTGCATGTGTATGCACATGTGTGTGCATCTGCATGTGCAAGTGCACATGTAAATGAATATATTCCTAAAAATATTAATACAAAATAAATATATATATATATATATATATATATATATATATATACATGTTCTTTATATATACACTCCATTATGTATAAATATATAATACACAGAAATAGAAAAAGAACCATGAACCGACACCATACATATATGTAAATAAGTATGCAAAAATAGATACAGAAATAAAAACACTACAAAAACATATCAATACTGATTAATCTTTCACAACTTTCACTGTCATGGCAAGTTTACATCTTCCAGGAAATTTGTCATTGCTAATCCAGAAGTCCAAATAGGTATTAGTATATCATGTGACTGCAAAGCATCAACCTACAAAGTACCCAAAGGAAAATGATACAGGTATATTTGGAGAATGTTTGTAGATTACTACAGACATGATCTGCTATGAAGGGGCCACTCGCATATGTTGTAAATACTGTTGCAAGATTTCAACTTTATCTTGCCAATGTGTACTTTTTGGATTTGCATTTTTTTTTTACAGATATTAGAACTATGTAAAGTACAGACTTGGCTTGTATAAGATTTTAGATTTGATAATATCAGCTAACATTAGAAATACTAGGAAATGAAATGCCCATAATATCAATCTCAGATATCACACTACTATGCTGACTGAGCAACAAGTACATGAACACAGTATTAAGTGGTCACTGAAGGATACAAAAAAATACATAACAATAAAAATATTTGGAGGAACAGACTGAAAGCAGCGACTTTTCAATTACAAATGAGACATTGTCACAAGAAAATGATGAGGAATGTTGATGATTTGCATACTTCAATTCTTTACTTTTTTCTTAGTCTAAAACACTACTGATGACATGGATGGTAGGTTGGCTACACGTGTATGATAATATGGATACTCTGCTTATTATTCTACATTGTTACCTCAACTGAAGAACACTTCTTCTTTCAGCATGAAGTATATTGTTGAACTCTTGGGCTTTTATTTCCTATGTGTCTGTCTACATTAGGTTACAGGAACAATGTCAAATCTATTTACAGATCTACATATATATCCCCTCCCTTGCCTGCAATGCAAGAATGCTCAGATCACATACATTATAAAATATCCCTTGCTAAAAATACATTGAATTATAACACTTTTTAGAATAGAAGCAACAATG